ATGATGAGGTTCTTCGTCTTCTCTCAGTCTTGAGCTGTGTTTGTGACCTATAGATAATTTTTGAAGCCTATAAGGCTAACCTATAGACAATTGTTGAATTCATCCTGTGGAGTAGGATCACGTCACTGACGACTATCAACGCGATTTCGAACTTCTATCGTGTTCAGACGCTCCATTGCCGATGCAAGTCGCTCTATGATAGTCTTTATCTGATCAACATCAGTCTTCAACTCATCGAACTTAGTTCGAGAAATAAAGGCATCATCGCCTGCCATCGGATCGGAGGAACCTGGCTCTGATACCAATTAACGTAACGCGGAAGTAAAACCTCAGAATCCACCAATGGTGTTTTCTGAGTCCACAAAGAATAATATACGAATCCACAAAGAAATATTAAAAGAGAAATTTTATTGATGAAAAGATATTATTCTTTGGGGTTACATAACTCTTCTTAAATAGAAAAATAAATAAGACTACTAGTAAGACTAGAATTACAAAGAAATAGAAAGTATCAAATTCCATCCTAAAAAGACTCCTTATAATAGAGGAAACAAATCATGAATCAAAAATGAATTTGTTTCCTAATCTAATTTGATTCTAATATTGAATTTATTTCCTAATCTAAATAGATTCCAACTTTATTACTAAAAATAAAATAAAAGCTGATTATTTTCGGATTTCAGTAAAAACTGGGTATTACTAATGAGATTTTAAAAATCTGACAATCTAGTTGGCTTTGTCTCATCGAGATAGGCGGTTTATATATATAATATGTCAGAATCCGCCTTCTGAGTTGGAAGATATGATTGTTTATTTGCGGAAGTCAATAATACGTATAAATCTGTATTTAGCTGTCCGAATCCTCCATAAAATTGTCTATTAAGCGTCCTACATCACCCGATCATCACTCTGCACAGTTCTTGAATCCTTAGTGAAATTTATTGAGGCAGACAGTTTGGGGTGTGTCTTGTCTAGATCTGTTGTTATTTAATCCTTTCTCCCTTCTCTGCTTCCCATCATACCGAAAAACGAAACTTTCATGTATTGTAAACACAATTGCGTATACAACAATATCAAGAAACGTTTTGGAGATAACTGATTACGCGTGCATATTTCGGTATAAATCATATATGAACTTCAAACTTGCAAGCATATGTAGTTCTGATTCTGAGCCACTAAATGCAATGATGAAATCCGTGAGCTAAATTTCACGCTCTCGTACGTAGATAGTTCTCATAGAAGTGGGACCTGTTTAAACTTTGTGGCCCAAAGCTAGGGATGTCAAATGCGTGGTTTTGATTGGGTCTTGGTTGAGTCATAAATAGGTGGGCACATTTATGACCACTCAACCATTTATGACCCATTTAGCATTTGCTAAATGGGTCAGTTCTCAACCACCCATTTACTAAATGGGTGGTTCATGGGTGACCCAATAACCGTTTAGTTATGATTATGATGCTTCTATATATATGTAAGTTTCAGGGATCTACTTGCAAACTTTCAGGGGTTTTGGCAAACTTTTAGGGGGTTTTCTTCAAACTTTCAGGGGGTTTTCTACAAACTTTAAGGGGGTTTTTGCAAACTTTCAGGGGGGGTTTTTTGTAAACTTTCAGGGATTCTTTTTGCAAACTTTCAGGGGGTTTTCTATAAACTTTTAGGGTTTTTATGTAAACTTTCAGGGGTTTTCTGCAAACTTTCAGGGGGTTTTCTGAAAACTTTTAGGGTTTTTATGTAAACTTTCAGGGGGGTTTCTATAAACTTTCAGGGGGTTTTCTGCAAACTTTCAGGGGGTTTTCTGTAAACTTTTAGGAGTTTTTCTGTAAACTTTCAGGGGGTTTTCTACAAACTTTCAGGGGTTTTATGTAAACTTTTAGGATGTTTTCTGCAAACTTTCAGGGGGTTTTCTGCAAACTTTTAGGGGTTTTTTTTTGTAAATTTTTAGGGGGTTTTCTATAAATTTTTAGGGGGTTTTCTATAAACATTTCTTTCTCAAAATCCATGAGCTATGAGCGTAATTGTTCATTTCTTCATATTTGTTATTGGTTAAAGTCTATTATTTTTTTCATGTTTGTTCTTAATTACAGAGTATCCCCCAGTAATTATCCTTGAATTTTTTTTATCACGCCGGATAACAATACACGCTCTCTTTCTCTCCTGTTTCTCGCGTAATAGACATAAGTTTTGCAAATTACACTTGGCCGCACACGCATATATCTCCTGCGGACGAAGAATTGTGAGTGCCTACTTTTTATATTTATATATCCTTGAGGGTGTTTTTTGCAATTTTTAAAAGTTTGAGGGTGTTACTTGCAAATTTGATATTTATAGGGGACTACCAAAATTTTTTAGATTTCATGTGTTATTTGCAAGTTTAGAAAATTCTAAGATTGTTTTGTAGTTTTGAACTCTTGAGGGTGTTTTTTGCAATTTTTAAACTTTGAGGGTGCTTTTTGTAAATTATAAATTTATAGGGGGTTGCTAGTAATTTTTTGATTTCATGTGTCATTTGTAGGTTTTGAAATTTCAGGATGATTTTGTAATTCTAAACTATGGAGGGTGTTTTTCTAAAAATTTAAAACTTTAAGGGTGTTAATTGCAAATTTTAAATTTATAGGAGACTATTGAAATTTTTTAGATTTCATATATCATTTGCAAGTTTAGAAAACTCTAATATTGTTTGGTAATTTTGAAGTCTTGAGGGTGTTTTTCTTATTTTCTATAACTTTTAAGGGTATTTTTTGCAAATTATAAATTTTAGGGGGCTGGTGGTAATTTTTGAATTTCATGTGTCATCTGTGAGGTTAGAAAATTTTGATAGTTTTTTTATAATTTTTAACTCTTGAGGGCGTTTTTATAATATTTTAAACTTTAAGGGTGTTTTTTGCAAATCTCAAAATTTTAAGGGGTTTTAGTCATTTTAAGTGTTTTCTATAATTTTTAACTTTTAAAAATAAGTTTTGTAATTGTTGAAGCGTTGAGGGTGTTTTTAAAACAATATCCATCTAAACGGGTAAATGGGTGGGTAATAACCCGCCCATTAATGACCCATTTATCTTTAATAGAAACTATACTCACTCATTTATGACACATTTAACTAAAGGGTGGGTTTAAATGGTTTATTTGACGGGTGGGTATGGGTGAGCAATTGATTTTGGGTTCATTTTGCCATCTCTACCCAAAGCAAAGACAGCGTGAGTTTCCCTTTGTTAATAGCACGAGAAGCTCGTGGAGTTAGGTGAGCTAAAAAGGCCAGCAGCTCAGCATAGACCAGATGATAGGTTTTTTGGAAGGACAATGGAATAAGTTATGTTAAGTCCAAGACGAATTGATATCTTCAACCTCGGGCTTTCTAAGGGCATGTTTGTTTGCACGAAAGTAAGTGTGAAGTAGCTGAAGTAAAAGAAATAGAGGCTACTTCCAAGCAAAAAAATGTGTTTGGTTCTCTGAAAAACTTACTTCTAATACTTCCCTAAATGATTATGTGGCGCCTACGTGTCATCCTTACTTCCAAATTTTTTTTTTTCAATCCTCAATACTCAGAAGTAGCTCGGAAGTAGTTGAAATGCATATTAATTATGACATAAATAAAATTTTTTATTAATATTTCCTTTATTAGTTACTTCTAACAACTTTTGCTTGATAAAATTACTTCCTAATAATATTTTCAAATGTTATCCAAACAAAAAAAGTAAATGAAGAGGAAGAAGTTCTAATTCCATTACTTCTAAAAATATATGAAACAAACAAAAAAAATGCTATTTCCACTACTTCCTACTTCATAGCTTTGAAAGTTACTTCTATAACATACTTCTTGCTTCTAATACTTCCATTATCCAAACGGGCCCTAAGACGTGAAAGACTAGGAAGCAGTCCTTTTTGTTGATGGTCATGACGCATGTGCTACGGTTCCTATCATTACCTTGCGCGTGTGAGCGGATGATTCTTAGCCTTTAATGGGGAGGGGAAATGACGGTTTGACCCTTCTATTCAACCCATAGTAAGTTGGAAATCACCAGCTCACGAGGAGCTTTTTATTTTTCTTTTAGAATTTTTTTGGTATTAGTCATCCAAATTTTTAATGTTGAAACTAAGGGCCCATTTGGTTGGGCAATTTTAATATGGAAAACCATTATAGATCTTCCAAAAGTATCCAAAAAGCTAATACTTTTGGCAGCTTTATAGCAAAATCACCTCTTTAAGAGGCGATTTTGCTGTAAAGCTGCCAAAAGTGTCAGCTCTACAATGGCTTTCCCCCTTCATTTCACCCAACCAAACGGACCCTAATTTCCAAATCTTCGTATTTTGAGGTTAGCACATGAGGTTTGTCTGAAACTAATCCTAACACATTTATATATGATTTTGTTACTCTATTCTCCTCTCTCCTACCCTTATGAGGTAAAAATGAAAGGCTATCAATCTTGATAATATTTCAACTTATTTTTATCTACAGAGACACAAAAATATTAGTCTTCAATGCATTTAGCTATATGAATGTAGTAGATAAGTTTATTCCAAATCCTGTCCTATTCTCAACATATTTCAACAGTATTTTTAGGATCCTGCTTTTAAGTTTAAAGTAGTAGATAAGTTTATTTTTCCAAATCCCACCCTTTTCTCTTTATAGAAATGTTAGGGGTACATCCCAAGTCACACCTCCAACCACACCTCTCCCTCTCATTCGCTACAGTACTCCGGGCCCCACATGAGTTTTTTAAATTTAATACTGTAGCGAATGAGAGGGGAGGTGTGGTTGGAGGTGTGATTTGGGGTGTGCCCCTAACACCACTCTTCTCTTTAATAATGAAATTTCATGGGTTTTCCTGAAAAATAACATTCTTTTTTAAAGAAAATATTTATGGCATTTATAGTAGGGCCAACATGTGGGACCGATCAAGGGACCTGGCTTCCGTTTTTGAGAAATAGCAACCTTTGACTTCGCGCCGCTCGCCTTATAAATAACTCTTGGCCCTTTTAATCGCTCTCTCTCTCTTAAAATTTTTTTTATGGATATTGAAGAAGGAAACTCAAATCTCCACATTGCAGAGGAAAAAGTTGTGAGTAATTAAATTGAGCCCTCGCATTATCAATTGATTATTTCCAGATTTTTTTCTGATAATATTTCATCTGACATTTTCGAATTTTATGATTATTTTTGTGATGTGGAAAATTGACGTTTATCCAAATTTTCTTGATTTATTTATGGGTTTTCTAAATTTCCCATAGATATACTTTGATTTTACTGAAATTGATTTTGTTAGAAGAAACTTTTTTTTAGGACATTCTACGCCGACGAGATGACAAATGACCAAGCTACATCTCAATTAATCTTTTTATGTCGATTTTTGACTTGGGTATTTTGAGTTGGGTAAATTGCAGATAACCCTTTCATTATACAGTAGCACTTTCAATCCTCAACTATTTTATTAGCATCTAACACCTGAATGTAAATTTTCACATTTTTAGAAGAATAATTAAATTGCAGATTACCCCTCCTCCTCGTGATTTTAGGATCCTAAGCGCTAATAAAATAGTTTTGAGTGTGATAAGTGTTATTAAAGGCATGGATGAGGGGATTATCTGCAATTTACCCATTTTGGGTTTTATCCATCTTTTGATAAATTGTTTATGGGTTTCCTAACTTGTAGATTGTGTTACTGAAATAATTCAGTAGGGTTTTGTGTTCTATTATAGGTTATCTCCATTGACAACCTTGCTCTTTTTTATTGTCATTAAGGTGTCATTTATTGTCCTTGTGCTTTTCTTTCAAGAACTGTTTGTCTTTATTTTTTGCAGTTGAGGTTTAGACACATTTTTTAAAAACCTTTTCTTCTCCTTCCTTTCCACAGATTTGTTTGCTTTACTATTTAATTTGGTAATCAAAGTGTATTACTCCTCCGTTGTCATCCTAATCTATTGTATCTTTTCCTTTTTCTAATATATAAATTCGGTTTGCTGTTATATTCTCATCATTATTCTTTGTATATACATTGACAGAGGAGTAGCAGATGGAGGGATATTATTCTTGCTTACAAGACTCTTGGAGTTGTGTTTGGTGGTTTAGTGACCTCACCTCTCTATGTTTACCCCTCAATGAACTTGAAGGCACCAAATGAAGAGGACTATTTAGGAATTTATAGCATCATATTTTGGACTCTGACACTAATTGGAGTTCTCAAATATGTCTGCATTGCTCTTAATGCCGATGATCATGGAGAGGGTACGTAGTCTACTTGCCTTCTTGATGCTGAAATCATTTTCAACTTGTCACTTTAATTGGTTTAGTTGGCATATTTGACTGCCAGTCTTCTAGCAGTTTAGAATTAATCCCTCTTTCTGTATAGCATGTGCTTGTTTCTTTCCTTTTCTTCTCCCCATATATCTAATAATTTGAGTGGTTCATAAAACTTCTAAAGGTGTAGTCTGTTTGGTACTAAGGACATTTTTAGATGTAGATCACAAGATCCATCCTGTCGGATGTCAACATTTTGAAAGATTATTGTGATACAGAGTCAATTGCCTTCTGGCATGTCATGTTTAAAAATGTGGATGATGTGAGTCTTGTGTATGAGATACAGTCATTCTCAAATTTCAGTTAGAAGAGGATTCTAAACTCAATTGGTCCTAGAATGAAGCTATATAGTTTATTGATCCAAGAAGAAATTAGTGGTTCAAAAACAACAGAAGTGTAGTAGTGAGTTTCCTTTGGTGCTAGTTGAACCTTCATCAATTGCACAAAATGAGTCAGTAACAGAGGTGTGAGAAACGTGACTTTGAATTTTGTCTTCATTTACCTAACTCTTGTGATGTTTTGTCAATCTTTGCAGTGTGAGAAACGTGACTTTGAATTTTGTCTTCATTTACCTAACTCTTGTGATGTTTTGTCAATCTTTGCAACGCCAGATCACTTCCTCACCAACCCCTCTTCATTTACCTAACTCTTGTGATGTTTTGTCAATCTTTGCAACGCCAGATCACTTCCTCACCAACCCCTATGTATATTTTATTATTTTTTATGGCTATATAAGGGGGATGAGGGTTTAATGCATCAGTCGGAGAGAAACAAAATATTTAGAGAAAAGAAGAGAGAAAAGAGAGTGAGATAGAAAGAATTTGTCTCTTTCTTTGTGTGAGTCTCTGGCAAGAGAGTGATCTCCTCTTTGTAATATTCTCGTTGGTGATTAGTGAAATTCTCTGCTGTTCTCGCCCGTGGACGTAGGTCATACTGATCGAACCACGTTAAATCTTGTGTGTTGTTTTTTATTTGTCCACTCTTGTATAGACATCTTTATGTCTGTGAAGCCCCTCCGCTGTAACAAACTGGTATCAGAGCCTGCTTAGAGTACGTGTATCTGCTTATCGTATGCTCTGTGGCTGCCACCAAAAGTGGATGCCACTAAAAGTTGATCCTCCACATCAGAAAATAAGTTAGATTATCATTTACTCTTTAAAGGCACTGGGTACTATTCACGTGTACGGTGCTATTCGAAAGTACTGTCACTATTCATACGTACGCTCACTATTCATACATACGGTTACTGTTCACAAATACGGTACTGTTCATAAATACAGTTACTGTTCCGGTTGGCTTCAAGATGTCTTCTGCGAAATACAAAGTGGAGAAATTCGATGGGAGAAACAGCTTCAGTTTATGGAGAGTTAAAATGAGGGCTCTCCTAGTACAACAATGACTATTCAAAGTCTTGTCCGGAAAGGATAAATTGTCGGAATCTATGCCCGATGATGAGAAAGAAGAGCTGAAGATGAAGGCGCATAGTGCCATACAGCTCTGTTTGGCCGATGAGGTCCTGCGGGAGGTTGCAAATGAAGATACCGCCGCCGGCTTGTGGCTCAAGTTGGAGAGCTTGTACATGACGAAATCTCTGACGAACAAGCTTTACTTGAAGCAACGCCTCTTCACCCTTCGCATGAAGGAAGGTATGCGAATTAAAGACCACTTAGATGAACTTAACACTATTCTTATGGATTTAAAGAATATTGATGTTAAAATTGACGAAGAAGATCAAGCACTCATCTTGTTATGTTCATTACCTCATTCTTATGAAAATTTTGTCAATAACATGTTATACGGTAGAGATACATTTTCTTTGGAGGATGTCAAATCAGCCTTACATTCAAAAGAGTTAAGGCAGAAAGTATCTGTCGTAGGAGGAGAGGATCAAGCTGAAGGCTTGTTCGCTCGTGGTCGTCCTGAAAAGGGTGTTGGTGGTAGAGGCAAATCTAGAAACATGACTAGATCAAAGTCCAGGCCAAGAAAAAATGTTGAATGTTATTACTGTCACAAATATGGGCATATAAAACCTAATTATCCAGCGTTCAAAGCAAAGGACAATTCACAGTCGAAGTCTGGGGATGTAAAACCTTCAGTTGCCACTGTAACTGAAGAGTCTTCTAGTTCACATGATGTTCTTTCAGTTAGTGTTAATACTCATTCACAAGATGAGTGGGTTCTTGATTCGGGTTGTTCCTACCATATGTGTCCGTATAGTAATTGGTTTGTCACATATCAGTCTATCGATGGTGGGAATGTCTTGTTGGGAAATAACATGCCTTGCAAGACTGTCGGTATTGGATCAATTAAGATTAGAACCCATGATGGTATTGTTAGAACATTGAGCAATGTCCGTCATATTCCAGAGTTAAAAAAGAACCTCATTTCTTTAGGCACCCTTGACTCAAATGGTTTTAAGTTTTCGGATGAAGGTGGAGTTTTGAGAGTAAGTAAAGGCTCTCTTATTGTGATGAAAGAAAAGAAGGTAAATACCCTCTATATCCTTGAAGGCAGTACAGTGACAGGTGCTGCAGCAGTGTCATCCTCAGAGGATTCAGATTCAGACACTACACATTTGTGGCATATGCGGTTAGGGCATATGAGTGAGAGAGGACTGGATTGTGGTCAGAAAACCAGCAAATTAGACTTTTGTGAACATTGTGTTTTCGGTAAACACCATAGAGTATCCTTTAGTACCGGTGTCCATAGAACCAATGGTACTTTAGATTATATCCATTCAGATGTTTGGGGTCCCTCTCAGGTTCCATCGAAAGGTGGAGCTCGTTTTCTGCTAACATTGATTGATGATTATTCCAGAAAAATTTGAGTGTATCCTTTAAAGCATAAGAGTGATGTGTTTGCAACCTTCAAGCAATGGAAGGTTATGATTGAGAAGCAAACAGGAAAGAAAGTGAAGCGCCTCAGAACCGACAATGGGATGGAGTTTTATTCCATGGAGTTTGACCAGTTCTGCAAGAATGAAGGTATTGTGCGTTATCGTACAGTTCGACATACACCACAGCAAAATAGAGTTGCAGAAAGGATGAACAGAACACTTTTAGAGAGAGCTCGGTGCATGCTCTCTAATGCCGGTTTGTCAAAAGACTTTTGGGCCTAGGCAGTCAATACAGCTTGCTATTTGATAAACAGATCTCCTTCTACAACAATTGATTTAAGACTCCAGAAGAGGTATGGTCTGGTGCTCCTGCTAATTACTCTTATTTAAGAGTATTTGGTTGCTCTGCTTATTTTCATGTTAATGATGGTAAGCTTGAACCTAGAGCAAAGAAAGCTATCTTTCTAGGATATGCTACTGGGGTGAAGGGATATAGATTGTGGTGTTCTGATCCCAAGTCACCTAAGTTTATTATTAGTAGGGATGTTACTTTTGATGAAAAATCCATGCTTCACCCGAGAAAGGAGTTTGTTATTGACACTACAGGTACTGAAAAGGAGTCTAGCAAGCAGGTGGAGCTAGAGAGCTCAACTTTAAAGAGAGTGCTTGAGGGCGCTCATGTTGAACCAGTTGTTACTGAGAAAGGTTCAACTTCAGATGCTGATACACCGCAAGAGCAACAGTATAATATTGCCACCGGGAGAACAAAACGACAGATCCGACCGCCTCAACGCTACACAGACATGCTTGCTTATGCTTTGAGTGTAGCAGAATCGATTGAGGTTCCAGAGCCTTCTACATACAAGGAGGCTATTAGTGGAAATGAGGCTGCAAATTGGACTGTTGCGATGACTGAAGAGATGGAGTCTCTTCACAAGAATCAGACATGGAAGTTAGTGAAGCCACCCAGGGGACAGAAGATCGTTGGCTGTAAATGGGTATTCAAGAAGAAAGAAGGAGCTCCGGATACAGATTCTGTAAGGTACAAGGCACGCTTGGTAGCTAAAGGCTACAGTCAGACCGAAGGTGTGGACTTCAATGAAGTATTCTCTCTAGTTGTAAAACACACCTCAATCCGCGTGTTGCTTGCCGTGGTTGCTCATTTTAATTTGGAGCTTGAGCAACTTGATGTGAAGACAGCTTTTCTACATGGTGAGCTTGAGGAGCAGATCTTTATGCATAAACCAGAGGGTTTCATTGTTGAAGGTAAAGAAGATCATGTGTGCAGGTTGAAGAAATCTCTTTATGGGTTGAAGCAGTCTCCGAAGCAGTGGTATTTGAGATTTGATACTTTCATGTTTGAGCATGGTTACTCTAGGAGTAAATATGATAGTTGTGTTTATCATAAAAAGCTCAATGATGGTTCTTTTGTATATTTGCTTTTGTATGTTGATGACATGTTGATTGCAGCTAAAGATATGTCAGAAATCAACGAGTTGAAATCTCAACTCAAACATGAGTTTGAGATGAAGGACTTGGGAGCAGCAAAGAAGATTTTAGGGATGGAGATCCACAGGAACAGGCGAGAAGGAAGTTTATTCTTATCTCAGGAGAAATACATTAAGAAGGTGTTGGAGAGATTTGGCATGCTTGATGCCAAGCTTGTGAAGACTCCGCTTGCCGCTCATTTTCGTCTTTCAGCAGATTTGTCACCTCAGACTGAGGAGGAGGAGCAGTACATGTCTCATGTTCCTTATGCGAGTGCAGTTGGAAGCATTATGTATGCGATGGTTTGCACCCGTCCAGATATTTCACATGCAGTCAGTGTTGTAAGTCGGTACATGGATAAGCCTGGAAAGGCCCATTGGCAGGCTGTGAAATGGATACTTAGATATTTGAGAGGATCTGCTAATGTTGGTTTGTATTTTGGCAGGAACACAGACTCAGATTGCAGAATACTTGGCTATTCTGATTCAGATTATCCGGACGATTTGGATAAGAGACGATCTCTGACAGGTTATATATTCACTCTTTCAGGTAGTGTCATTAGTTGGAAGGCGACTCTACGGTCGACATTTGCTTTGTCTACCAC